TGGGAAAATATTATCTTCTTAAAAGCTGCAACTTAAGATGCCACAAAGAGGCCAGGGTCCAGGAAAGGAATGTCTAAAAGCATCTGGCAAATATCATGACCCGTACTAAGCTGGGCTTTTCGTAAGATTAATGAGCCTTGCTATCAAGAGGCTTCTTCAGGAGGGACTTATCTTAAGATGTATGGAAGTTCTTGCTTTCAGCAGACATTCGGGCACTATGGGTTACAGGATGGTACCCTAATGAGCAGCTCTTTAGATAAAGGTGCTTAATGGAAGATTGAAGGTGTTGAAGTTAAAATATGCTATTGAAGTCAATGTAAAAGTGATGCACATTGTGATGCTTGTATGACGCATGCATATTGTTTTAAAGGGTATATAAACCAAGGCAATTCTTTTGTTCAGAACCCTGTTTTTTTGGAATACCAGCAAGGTCCATATCTGGTTGGCGTCAACCGAGAATAAACCATGCTTTTACAGATCTCAGGAACTCTCTTTTGTCTCTTTTCCTCAAACTTTCTCCATGCCATTTCACCATGTTATTTATTTTCTTCCTCCTTCCCTTCCCCAGATGCAGACCATTGCACGACGTGTCCAGAAGACGAGCATCCAAACAAGGACCGAGATCAATGTGCTGCCAAAAGTATAACCTTTCTGTCCTATGAAGAACCTCTAGGGATCACCCTGGCTTCATTTGCTGTATCCTTGTCCATCATCACAGCTTTTGCATTAGGTATTTTCATTAGATACATGGACACTCCATTAGTCAAAGCAAACAACCGGGACCTTTCATACATTCTCCTCATCTCCCTCCTGTTCTCTTTCTTGTCCTCCTTCTTATTTATTGGACAGCCAAAGAAGATAACCTGCCTTCTCCAGCAAATGGCCTTCAATGTCATCTTCTCAGTTGCCGTCTCTTCTGTTTTGGTTAAAACAATTACTGTGGTGCTAGCCTTCATGGCAACAAAGCCAGGGAACAGGATGAAGAGATGGCTCCGGAAGAGTTTGGCCAACTCCCTTGTCGTTGCATGTTCTAGCATTCAAGCTGGCATTTGCACTATTTGGTTGGGCCTCTTTCCCCCATTCCCTGACTCTGACGTGCACTCCCACTTTGGTGAGATCACCCTGAAATGCAATGAAGGGTCTGTATTCATGTTCTATGCTGCCCTTGGGTATATGGGCTTCCTGGCTGCAATCTGTTTCACATTGGCCTTCCTAGCGAGAAAGCTGCCTGGGTCCTTCAACGAAGCCAAGTGGATTACCTTCAGCATGCTTGTCTTCTGCAGCGTTTGGGTCTCCTTTGTGCCCACCTACCTAAGCACTAAAGGGAAATACATGGTAGCTGTGCAGATCTTCTCCATCTTGGCCTCCAGTGTTGGCCTACTTGGCTGTATCCTCATTCCCAAGTGCTACATTATTGTGTTAAGACCTCACTTGAACACAAAGGAACATGTCATGATCAAAACTGTGCAAGCCTCTTGAATTAGGGATGGGAATGTATTTATTTATTTCATAAACAACTTTATTCCAGTATGAATTCAAGATACCACATAATAAAGGCTTGAACCAGACATAAGTCAAGACAAATCATTATGGTTAAAGAGAAAGACTGGGATGACTATGGTATCACATGAAATTTTCACACAACAATAGAGCCTCAAACTACACATTTCATTGTTCTATGACAGTGGTTCTCCACCTGGGGTCCCCAGATGTTTTTGGCCTACAATCCCCAGAAATCCTAACATCTGGTAAACTGGCTGGGATTTCTGGGAGTTGTAGGCCAAAAACATCTGAGGACCCAAGGTTGAGAGGCACTGTTCTATGATTTCACGTTGCTTCTGACTTATAGTGACACTCTCCTAAGGTTTTCTTGGTTGGAATTGTGCAGAGAGACTTTGTCCTTGCCTTACTCTGAGGCTGAGAGAGTGGGACTTGACCGAGATCAAACAGTAGGTTTCCATGGCTGTGCAAGGATTCGAACCCTGATCTCCTGGAGGCCTGTTCCATCACTAAAAGCTCTGTATCACATTGAATTTCTGCTGAGAAACTTAATGCCTGCCTAGGAAACCAAGGGCAGTCCAGCTAAAGTGAAATGACACCACACCATTCTAGTTATCTTCCCACAACCAAAATCCAATGGTTTTAAATCTTAGTCCAGGGTCTAGTCCAGTGTTTCTCAACCTGGGGGATGGGACCCCTGGGGGGATCATGAGGGGGTGTCAGAGGGGTCCCCAAAGACCATCAAAAACCACAGTATTTTCTGTTGGTCATGGGGGTTATGTGTGGGAAGTCTGGCCCAATTCTGTCATTGGTGGAGTTCAGAATGCTCTTTGATTGTAGGTGAACTATAAATCCCAGCAACTACAACTCCCAAATGTCAAGGCCTATTTTCCCCAAACTCCACTAGCGTTCACATTTTGGCATATTAAGTATTCGTGCCAAGTTTGGCCCAGATCTATCATTGTTTGAGTCCACAGTGCTCTCTGGATGTACGTGAACTACAACTCCCAAACTCAAGGCCAGTGCCCACCAAACCCTTCCAATATACTTTAAACAGAGGCTGGATGGCCATCTGTCAGGGGTGATTTGAATGCAATATTCCTGCTTCTTGGCAGAATGGGGTTGGACTGGATGGCCCAGGAGGTCTCTTCTAACTCTTTGATTCTATGATTCTATTATTTCTGTTGGTCATTGGAGGTCTGTGTGCCAATATTGGTTCAATTCCATTGTTGATGGAGCTCAGAATGCTCTTTGATTGTAGGCAAACTATAAATCCCAGAAACGATAACTCCCAAATATCAAAATCAATCCCTTCCCAACCCCACCGGTATTCAAATTTAGGCATATTGAGTATTTGTGCCAAATTTGGTCCAGTGAATGAGAATACATCCTGCATATCAGATATTTGCATTACAATTCATAATAGTAGTTCTGAAGTAGCAACAACAATAATTTTTATGATTGGGGGTCACCACAATATGAGGAACTGTATTATGGGGTCGTGGCCTTAGGAAGGTTGAGAACCACTGGTCTGGTCATTGATTCCCAAACTCTAGTCCCCTAAGTGTTTTGGACTTCAACTTCCAGTGTCCCCACCTAGTTTGGTTGACGGTCAGAGATGTTGGGAATCGAGGTCCAAAATGCCTGGATGTCTAGAGTTTGGGAATAACAGCAATGGCACAAGAGGGTCTCTCTGTTGAATTTGTCCAATTTTTACCAGACTCTTCAAGCTTCATTGAAAATATTTACTTTACGCTGCTCTTGGAGTATTGTTTTCATGATCAGATTCAAAGGCAAGCTTTGAGGAAATCCCTTTTGAGATTTAGGAAGAAGAGCAATAAATTGCCATAATTGGGATAATTATAGAGATTCGTCAGCCTCTGCGGACTTCTCAGCTAAGGATGGCTCCGAGCGCAGGTGCCGGGCTTGGAGAAAAACATGTTTGCGCAAGATCACTGGAGTCATAGAATACCATGGCAAGATGCCAGCAAAACAGAAGTGGAGTTTGGCATGGCTTTTGTAACTAAAGGACTCGTGTATCTGCAGGACCATAATCAACAGTTTCGTTTATCCACATCTGAAAAAAGTATCCTCTCTAAATATTTGTTAGGTCTCTCAACATAACTCGATGGAATTTGGGTGCCAAAAGTACTTCATTTCAATAGGGTTCACTATTTTTCAACCGTTTTGCATACCCACACAATGTCCAGGAATATATCCCCCACAGATATGTAGTACTTGCATTGGGGATGGGAAATCACGTGGTACATCATGAGCTCCTTTTTCCCAATCACAATCTGTCCCCAAACCCTTACAAACCTTTTGCAGAAACTTAGGATTTCAGGAAACCTTGCCCCAGAAACCCTGGCCTGACATTAAATCTTCCCTTGGTGAGGTGTCATAAACTGAAGTTCTCTGGTTGTAATAAATATGCATGTGTATGCCTCTGCACACTAGATAAGCAGTTTCCTTCTGGTCCATTACGAATATAGTACATGAAACTTCCTTCCAGTAACTGGATTTATCCTGAATCAATATTGTCTATTCCAAAATCTGAAAAATTCCAAAATCCAAAATTGTGCACAGCTGGCTGAGATAGTGACACCTTTACTTTCCGATGGTTCAGTGTTCACAAACATTCTTCCTTGCATGAAATACAAAGGAATTTTGTGTGTAGACTTCAGTTCCATCTCCATTTTGCACATACCAAAGTCCTAAACAATTCAAAATAGGGAAATTTGAATGCGTGACCTGCATCTACCTGCGTGACCGCATCTACCTGTGTGATCGCATCTCCATATATGAACTGACACGTTCCCTTCGATCATCTGGAGAGGCCCTGCTCACGATCCCACCTGCGTCACAAGCGTGGTTGGTGGGGACGAGGGACAGGGCCTTCTCTGTGGTGGCCCCCCGACTCTGGAACTCTCTCCCCAAGGACATCAGAAAAGCCCCAACGTTGGCAATCTTTAGGAAGAGCCTGAAGACCTGGCTGTTCCAGTGTGCCTTTCCAGATTAGGAAACTCCTGGCATCATGTCCCAAATGCACTTTATTAGAGACTAGGATTGTCTGCACATTGCACCTACCTCCAAAAACCTCTACATACCTCCTGTCAAGTTCAGCACTTTTAAATTTTATTCATTACACTTGGCCCGGCCTTTAGGTTTTAAATGCATCATGGTGTCATTGTTTTTAGAGTTTTATTGTTTTGCTTGATGTTTTATTATGTGCTTATGAGTTTTACTGTTATATTTGTATGTTGTTGTTTGTTGGTGGTCTTGGCCATTGTAAGCCGCATCGAGTCCTTCAGGAGATTTTGCGGGGTATAAATAAAGATAATAATAATAATAATAATAATAATAATAATAATAATAGGGAACAGTTTTGATCCCAAGCATTTTAGGTAATCATTGGCATGCTCCACAATTGCCCTGATTTGGCAAGGACAATCCTGATTAATCCTTTATTGTCTCTGTTTCTCAGCTGCCTTTAAAATGAACCAAGGTGGATCTATACCAGTGGTTCTCAACCTGTGGGTCCTTGGGTGTTTTGGCCTAAAACTCCCAGAAGTCCCAGCCGGTTTACCAACTGTTAGGATTTCTGGGAGCTGAAGGCCAAAACATCTGGGGACCCACACATTAAGAACCACTGATCTACACTGACCCATTATTCCAGAGTTGATTGAGCATGACATGTATTGAATCTCTCTCACACACAGTAGCCACTGTGGTCCAGTGTTTCCCAAATGTTGGTCTTCCAGGTGTTATGGACTTCAGCACCCAGAATCCCTAACCATTGGCTTCCGCTTTTTAGGGTTGAAGTTAAAAAACCCTGGAGGACTAGGGCTTGCCCCACTCAACTAAAAATCCCAAGACTCCTGTTCAATATCTTTATGAATGACATTGATCAAGGGTTTGAAAGGAGGATCATCGAGTTTGCAGATGGGACCAAATGAGGAGGAAGAGCCAATACTCCAGAAGACAGGAGCAGATTGGTCAAAACTATCACTTGCATCAAAGAACCAAAGAGTTGGAAGAGACCTCATGGGCCATCCAGTCCAACCCCATTCTGCCAAAAAGCAGGAATATTGCATTCAAATCACCCCTGACAGATGGCCATCCAGCCTCTGTTTAAAAGCTTCCAAAGAAGGAGCCTCCACCATGCTCTGGAGCAGAGAGTTCCACTGCTGAACAGCTCTCACAGTCAGGAAGTTCTTCCTCATGTTCAGATGGAATCCCCTCTCTTGTAGTTTGAAGCCATTGTTCCGCGTCCTAATCTCCATGGAAGCAGAAAACAAGCTTGCTCCCTCCTCCCTTTGGCTTCCTCTCACATATTTATACATGGCTATCGTATCTCCTCTCAGCCTTCTCTTCTTCAGGAAGAGAAGGAAGAGAAGGCTTCTCTTCTCCTCTCAGCCTTCTCCAGCTCCTTAGGCCGCTCCTCATAGGGCTTGTTCTCCAGACCCTTGATAATTTTAGTCGCCCTCCTCTGGACACATTCCAGCTTGTCAATATCTCTCTTGAATTGTGGTGCCCAGAATTGGACACAATATTCCAGGTGTGGTCTAACCAAAGCAGAATAGCGCATGGGGAGCATGACTTCCCTAGATCTAGACACTAGGCTCCTATTGATGCAGGCCAAAATCCCATTGGCTTTTTTTGCAGCAGCATCACATTGTTGGCTCATGTTTAACTTGTTGTCCACGAGGACTCCAAGATCTTTTCCACACGTACTGCTCTCGAGCCAGGCATCGTCCCCCATTTTGTATCTTTGCATTTCGTTTTTTCTGCCCAAGTGGAGTATCTTGCATTTGGCACTGTTGAACTTCATTTTGTTAGTTTTGGCCCATCTCTCTAATCTGTCAAGATCGTTTTGAATCCTGCTCCTGTCCTCTGGAGTATTGGCTCTCCCTCCCAATTTGGTGTCGTCTGCAAACTTGGTGATCATGCCTTCTAACCCTTCATCTAAGTCATTAATAAAGATGTTGAACAGGACCGGGCCCAGGACGGAACCCTGCGGATGGCACTCCACTCGTCACTTCTTTCCAGGATGAAGAGGAAGCATTGGTGAGCACCCTCTGGGTTTGTCCATTTAACCAATTACAGATCCACCTCACCATAGTTTTGCCTAGCCCACATTGGACTAGTTTCCTTGCCAGAAGGTCATGGGGGACCTTGTCAAAGGCCTTGCTGAAATTCAGGTACGCTCCAGAGACTCCACTTAGGCAGAGAAAACAAAATGCAAAGAGATAGAATGGGGGCGATGCATGGCTCAACAGCAGGACATGGGGAAAAGATCTTGGGAGTCCTCATGGAGAGGAAGGGGAACAGGAGCCAGGAATATCATGCGGCAGCTTAAAAAGCCAATGAGATTTTGGCCTGCCTCAAGAGGAGCCTAGTACCTAGACCCAGGGAAGTTCTGCTACCCATGCTCTATTCTATTCTGCCTTGGTCACTGTGCTATTTCCGTGGAATAGCACAGTGTCCAGTTCTGGCCACTGCAACAGAAGGGAGATGTTGACTCTAAGCTGGAATGTATCCAGAGAAAGAGGGCGACTCAAAGGATCAAGGGGCTGGAGAACAAGTCCAATGAGGAGTGGCTTCAAGAGCTGGGCATGTTTAGCCTGCAGAAGAGAAGGCTGAGAGGAGACAGGATGAGGGCCGTGGTTCAAGATGTGAAGGTCATAGAGAGCAGGCTTCCTTTCTGCTGCCGCGGAGACTAGGACAGAGAACAATGCTTTCAAACTACAGGAAAGGAGATTCCACTTGAGCATGAGGAAGAACTTCCTGACTGGGAGAGACAGTTGTTCAGCAGTGGAACTCTCTCTCTCTTTGCCCCAGAGTGTGGTGGAGGCTCCTTCTTTGGAGGCTTTTAAGCAGTGGCTGGATGGCCATCTTTTGGGGGTACTTTGAATGCGATTTTCCTGCTTCTTGGCCCATGAGGTCTCTTCCAACTCAATGATTCTATGACTCTTTGCAACACAGTCAAGGGAGTTTAAAGTGGAAATATAGCACTACATCTGCATGGTGTGAAAGACACCTTAGACCAGCGATTCCCACATTCTGGTTGGCCAGGTGTTTTACTCCTTGAAGTCTAAAAAACCTGGGAAATGCTTCAAGCCAGACTCCAGGCCTTCAGGTGTCTTAGACGTCCAACTCCCAGAAGCCTAAGCTGCCTTGGCCAAGGATCAGATACTCTGGGAGATTAAGTCCAAAACAGACTTTGGGTCCCCTACTTCACCTCCCAGAAGCCTCTACTGATCATGGGTTCTGGGAGATGAAGTCCAAAGCACCTGAAAAACTTGTGCAAATTGGAGACCTCAAGGAGGCTTGGACTTCTACAGAATGGGGGACAATGCCTGGCTTCAGAGCAGTACGTGTGAAAAAGATCTTGGAGTCCTCGTGGACAACAAGTTAAACATGAGCCAACAATGTGATGTGGCGGCAAAAAAAGCCAATGGGATTTTGGCCTGCATCAATAGGAGCATAGTGTCTAGATCTAGGGAAGTCATGCTCCCCTGCTATTCCGCTTTGGTTAGACCACACCTGGAATATTGTGTCCAATTCTGGGCACCACAGTTCAAGAGAGATATTGACAAGCTGGAATGTGTCCAGAGGAGGGCAACTAAAATGATCAAGGGTCTAGAGAACAAGCCCTATGAGGAGCGGCTTAAGGAGCTGGGCATGTTTAGCCTGAAGAAGAGAAGGCTGAGAGATATGATAGCCATGTATAAATATGTGAGAGGAAGCCACAGGGAGGAGGGAGCAATGTTTTCTGTTTCCCTGGAGATTAGGACACGAAACAATGGCTTCAAACTACAAGAGAGGAGATTCCATCTGAACATGGAAGAACTTCCTGTGAGAGCTGTTCAGCAGTGGAACTCTCTGCCCCGGAGTGTGGTGGAGGCTCCTTCTTTGGAAGCTTTTAAACAGAGGCTGGATGGCCATCTGTCAGGGGTTATTTGAATGCAATATTCCTGCTTCTTGGCAGAGGGTTGGACTGGATAGTCCATGAGGTCTCTTCCAACTCTTTGATTCTATGACTTGGTTGTCTTGCAACTGATCAGGAATTCCTGGAGTTGTAGTCCAAAACTCCTGGAAGACCAGAGTTTGGAAACACTGTCAGTTGGATGCTCCTCCTTCAGCTGCTTGGGACTTCATCTCCCAGAAGCCTCAGGTTCCTTAGCTAGTTGTCTGGGGTGCTAGGAGCTAAAGTCCAAAGACTATTGTTTGAGAAACATTCCCGTCCTCCAGAAGTCTTGGACTTCAGCTCCCAGAAGCTTCTGCTGCTTTAACCAGTGATGGAGGAACCTGGAAACTGAAGCCAAGAAAAGCTGGAGAATCAGGAAGTGGGAATCCGTGCTTTTCCAGCCCAAGCTTCTTTGCATAGGATCCTCCTTAAGGAAGGTAACATCCCTGATCAAGAGGGTGGGAGAGAGTCCCACCTTCAGCTCCTTCTCTCTCCTCGGGTTGGAGGACCACCTCCAACTCAGCTTGAATCCGGAAGGGATGGAAGAAAGTGGGAAGGCGCAGAAGGACGCATGCTCGGCTCACTTCTGGAGGAGGGGAGTCACAGACCCTTGTTGGGGGAGGAAAGGAGGAGGAGGAGGAAGAGAAGGAGGAGGAGGAAGAGAAGGAAGAGAACAGGTAAAGGGGTGGGAGGGGGAGTCGCCACTTCTTAGAGGGAAAGGGTGACTGACCAGCTGTCCTTTGGGGGTCCTGGCTTGATGTATTTGGATGTGTGGGGGAGTGGTCGTGAATGGGGGGAGCCTCCATGGGAGGAGATGGGAGAAAGGCAGCCCTTTCCTTCCTCCCAGCTGCTCTGTGCTTCTCTTTTCCCTCCCTCTATTGTGTGTCTATTGAGTTTCCATGGGGATGGCATACAAGGGAGATTCAATGGAATCTGCTGCTGCCTGGGATTCTAAGCAGAGGCTGCATGGCCATCTGTTGGGTGCTTAGTTTGTGTCTTTCTGCCTGGCAGAAAGGGGTTCTTTCTCCCACCTTGGACATTCCATAGGTTTATAAGCCCCACTTGCCTAGTTTTCAACAGACCTCACAACCTCTGAGGATGCCTGCCATAGATGTGGGCAAAACATCAGGAGATAATGCTTCGGGAACATGGCCAAACAGCCTGGAAAACTCACATCAACCCAGTGATTCCGACCATGAAAGTCTTCGGCAACACTATTATTATTATTATTATTATTATTATTATTATTATTATTATGTATTGTTGAAGGCTTTCATGGCCGGAATCACTGGGTTGTTGTAGGTTTTTTTTGGGCTATATGGCCATGTTCTAGAGGCATTCTCTCCTGACATTTCGCCTGCATCTGGCACCAGTATTAAAAACCTCTAAAATTACAACAGCAAAACAACAGAGAGGAAACAAACAAGGACATCTAATCACCTCTCAACAAAAGATTGCTCCAGGCACTGCCAGGCAATCAAATGCTAATCAAGGTGGTCAGTTGAAACATTCACACCTAGCTCCAGCAGACAAGAGTCCTTTGTCTCACCCTGGTCATTCCACAGATATATAAACCCCTTTTTCCTAGTTCCAACAGACCTCACTACCTCTGAGGATGCTTGCCATAGATGCAGGCGAAACGTCAGGAGAAATGCCTCTAGAACATGGCCATACAGCCCGAAAAAACCTACAACAACCTATTATTATTATTATTATTATTATTATTATGCACTTCCAGATGTTGATTGACATATGGCTCTGGAATGAGAGAGAAAAGGGCATGACACGACGGCCCCCCAAACAGACTTAAAAGGGTCCCTCCACCAAATCATCTCTCATTCTATGGGGCCCAAAAGTCCAAGATGCCCTGATTCTTTGGTGTCTTTTTCTTATTTGGACCTCATCGCACTAGAGAATGAATCCACTTTAAATCCAGTTTCTGCCTCCTGCAGAATTCTGGGATTTGTAGTTTAGTGAGGCTGTTAAATGTGCCTCCCTAAACTACAAACTCCAGAATTCTGCAGGAAGCTGCAACCAGATTTAAAGTAGATTCTCTCTAGGGTGATGAAGTACTAAATGACATTGAAGAGATGCTGCTTACAATAGGTGCATTCAGTGACCTTCCATGTTTTGGGGATGTTTGTGTTATTGTTAATGGTTTTGTGAGTAGGATTTGCAATGTTCTTGCTACAGTAACCGTTTGTTGCATTTGTGTTGTGAGTGGCCAGGTTTAGCAGTATCATTGCTTCAGTCACTGTTTGCTATATATACATTTTAAACAGAACTCTGTCGACATCCCATGCCAGGCCTCCTTTGTATCTCAGACTGGAGATCGAGGTTTGAATCCCTGCTTGGCCATGACACTTGCTGGGTGAGACTCTCCTCGCTTCAGAGGAAGTCACTGGCAAAGCTCTTTTGCCAAGAAAGCCCTGTCATGGGGTTGCCTTTGAAAGGGGTTAGGTTTTGCCCTCCAATGCCTGTGGGGAAACTGATTCAGCCTCCTCACCTTCCACAGTTGATCACTGTGGTCTTAAATAAAGCCATGAAACCCAAATGCAGTGAAAAAAGCAAAAACCCCTCCCATCTCCTCTCTGCCCCAAAAGGATATGTCATGATCCCATGTTTCAATTACACCCAGAATCAGGTTCGGAATCAGGGAAGAAGAAAACAAGCTT